GCGCCTTCATACCTTGAGCGCTGACAGCATCTCCCTCCATGGTTGCACTCTACATCTCATGGAAACAATATGGAACCTCGGCATCCTGTTCGACCCTCAACTGTCCTTCATACCCAACAGCCATGCCATGACCCGCTCTGCCTTCCCCCACCTCCGCAGCATTGTTCGGCTCCACCACTGTCTCACACCGCAGACCGCTGAGTTCCTCAAGCATGCACTCATAACATCCAGGCTCAACTATGCAAACTCCCTGCTTGTCGGCCTCCCCAACTCCTCCCTCCATAGGCTGCAGATCATCCAAAACCCTGCAGTCATGTCCTCTCCCACACCAGGTTTCACGACCCTATCACTTCCATCCTTGCCCGACTCCCCTGGCTTCCCATCACACAGAGGATACAGTTCAAGATCCTGGTCCTCACTTTCAAAGCCCTCCATGGCCTTGCTCCCCCATACCTCTGCGACCTCGTAACTCCAACCAACCTGCCTGCTCCCTCCGCTCAGCAGGCTCCGGCCTGCTTCATGACCCCTACACCGCCCACCCCACCATTGGTGGGTGGACCTTCAGCCACTCCGCCCCCACCTTTTGGAACTCCATCTCCCAGTCCTCTGCCTCGCCCACTCCTATGCTTCCTTCAAGACCCTCCTCTTCAACCGTGCCTTCGGTCACCCTCCTTCCCCCCCTGCCCCCCACCCTTCCCGATTCCGACCCCCAACTCAGGTCTGAAACACTGATTGTCCAGTGCATTGGAACATTCTCCCGATGTGAAAAGTGTTATACAAATGTAATTTTGTTGTTGTTTCAGAAAAATTCACTCCATTTGTAAAGTAATTGCTGCAGCATCCCTTCTGTGATAAGAATGCAAAAGCAAACCTTCAAGATTGTGAAATTGAAGTCTCTCAAGTAGATTTTTATCCATAACATCCAACATTGTTTCCACATATTTCAGAAACTCCCTGCTGTCTTCCCAACTGAGTGTCCGATATCATTGAAATCTCATTTAACAATACCATTATTCCTACAAAAACCCTTCTTGCATTTCTAAGCTGACATTTATGAGGGAGAATAAAGGAGATATGCGATTTAGGTGGAGTGGAGTAATGCACTTCAAAACTTTTAGATTGAACAAACTACTCTGCTTGCATGCACCCCACTTACTATAACATTCACTCATAGGGCTAGTATGTATACACCTCTCCCCCCCCTCCAAATGATGCTGGATAATGCCCATTTGCACACAATTCTTTGGAATAGCACCAGAGAAAGAAATCACAAACATTGACATCCAGGTACTAGAGAAACCAGATGTCCTCTGTGATGGACAGGTAGTTTGTGGGGAAATGTTTTCAAAACCACCTGAGCACGGTATTCTTTACAGTCAGGCAAAGGTGCCTGTTGTGACCATCTGATACTGCCATGATATTTGAAATTGCTAATACTGTAGCTCAGGGAAGCACATGTAATGTGGCAAGTTGGCCATCCCTGCTAGCTGGTCAGTTTAAAAAAACACAGACATTCCAAGAGCTCTTCCCATATAGGAATAGTGATTAGCCTTAGGCAGTGGTGAGGGAGTGGCAGATGCAGTGAAGTTGACTGAGGCTCTGGCATTCTTATTGCGCTGCAAATAATCTTGATGTCAGAGTTAACAACTATGGGGCTAAATTTGCAGGATTCCTTAACACATTCCACCCCTTAATTTGTACAAAGATTGCTTGAAGGAATACCTGAAATGTTGTTACTAATTTCTTAATTCACCTCGACTCAGCAACGCTCACGGGAACTGACTCCCTGTGGTTAGCCTCTTCAGGACAAATGACCAGTTGTCAAAAAGAACTGTGGAAATTGACTTCATGACGAAGCAGAGTTTTAACTCATCGATTTGCAGAGTTATATGTGGAGTCAAATGTGGAATTACAACTGTGTTTTACAGTCACATAAAGTCATTTGATAATTATTTAAACTGGGAAGCAGCTACAGGAAGAGCCAGTAGCAGGGAAATCAGAGGACTGGAGAGGTGCTGAGTGAAGATAAGTGGCTTGAGTTACTTAAGGAATTGGAACAAATTTACAGATATTCCCGAATCCCTTCCTTGTGCTAATAAAGATGTAGGTGGGGTCCATTTCCCACACAGCTCAGTAATTTAGATTTGATACTTTAGGAATTTCTAAATTTAAATTTGCATGTTAAAACCATGGTTTGCCCAGAAAAAATACTGTGGAGACATTGAAAAAGGTTGCACTGGAGTCTGGAAAGTCGAACTCAGCCTGAGTAACGAACATTTTACCAAAAAAGTTTTTCTCTGATACATCGTACCCTAGGAGTCTGTCCCCACCCAGTCTCTGAACCTGATCAGCTCCTGTTTATAAGATAAAATCATTCTTCACCTAGGAAAATACATAGTCAGCCAGCCAACCACTGGTCAGAGCATGCTCGAGCTGATTTCAGTACCCTCAGGAATGACAACATTACGTGCAAAGTACTGAATAATTTACTGGTGTCCTGCTTTACCAAGCTGGATTTTGAACTGCTGGCTGTGTGATGACTAACCATATGGCCTGTGGCACAACTGGGGTTCTCAGCCTGGCTCAATTGGTAGCACGCTCGCCTCTGAATCAGAAGGCTGTGGGTTCAAGCCCCACATGAGGACTTTGAATCACATTGACACTCCAATTCAGTGCTGGGGTTATGTTTCATTGTTGGAGGTGCCATTCTTTGAATGAGACATTAAACTGAGGTCCCATATGCCTGTTCAGGTTAATGTTAAAGATCCCATGGCAGTATTCGAAAAGAGAAAGGAATTTCTCCTGGTATCCTGGCCAACAGTCCATCGAATAAAACTGGTCACTCACTCCATGGCTGTTTGTGGGAGATTGCTGAGCGCAAATTAGCTGATGCATTTGCCCACAAAATATACATCAAATACACTTCACAGGAAATCCTTTGAAGCAATTTGAGACATCTTCACAACGTGATAGGGTGCTATATCAAATGCAAGAATTATTAATATTTTCATCTTAACAATGGAGAAGGTGTAGAATGGAGGCCATTGAGAGGGAGAATGTCTGCAATCATTCTGCAATAAAGCGTCTACAATTCAGCTACGAACAACTATTTCATTTTTATCACACTCTTCTCATTGGATATGTCTCGGAACGCTGGAGCCAGCTCAGGAAAGCCAACCCATAGATAGAGGCCCAGGAAGAGAATATAGAGTGAAGCCTTGTTATAATGTGTTTTTTGGGAACCATAAAATCCTACCCCACATTATTGTGAGGCACAATGGAGTGTTTTACTGGACATGCCCATAATCGGTCATTGCTCTACCCTCTATATTGGTGTATAGGAACTTTATACTGGATATTTCTCCTTCCTATCTCTGTGACCTGCTAACCCTATATCAGCCTGTCTGCGCCCTCCGCTCAGCAGGCTGCTCCACGTCCCTGCCCGGCCAGCCCCATCATCGGCGGTCTCATCTTCAGCATTTCTGCTCCCATCCTTTGGAACTCCATTCCCCAGTCCCTTTGTCTTGCTCCATCCCTTGCCTCCTTCAAAGGACATCTCAAGACCCTCCTCTTCAACTGTGCATTCGGCAACCCTCCTACTCTCCACTCCCAGTCCACAGTGCAACTCCATTACCACAACAACTTTCATTTCTATTGCTCCTTCATGCGGGGTAAAGTCTCGGAGCACTTAAATTATAAGGGAATCTGCCCTGGACTGAAGGGCTTACAGCAGGGATGCATTGTATAGGTTCTTAAATGTTTAAAATTAGGATGTGGTTGATAGATACCACTATATTATTTGATGTCAGCAATGGGATCCAAATTCATGACTTCAAAAGGAGAATGTAAAATAAACTTGAGGTTAATCAAAATCACTTTCAAAGCATTGATATTATACTCAAGCATCATGATGGATAGATTTTAATGTGATTTAAAAATAATGGTGTTGATTTACATATCAGTCTGATTTACGTATCATGGTCTGCCTTAAATTTCATGGTCTGACTTAAATTTTGTTTTATACAAGCAAAGAAAGGAATGATGGGCACATTTTCAAGACACACAGAGCCTCATTTGTATTGATATTTTTAAGAGGGAGTTTGAAGAGGGTGGAGGAGGAGGGGGAGTGAACATGCATTGCTGTTATAATCAGAATGGAATAAAGAACCTGGAAAGTATTTCTAAAATTCCCAAGGGCGAGGAATCAGAATTGTTTCCTTTACATTCCTGTCTAATTAAATCACCATCTCCACCCACTCTCTAAATCACATTAGCCCCATTTATAAGATAAAATCATTCTGCATTCAGGGACTCATATCCCTCAGTCACTGGTCAGATCATGTTCCATTTGTCACGAAAAAACATGCTAATATTAGAATTTATCATCAGGAAGCCACCTTCCCAAGATTAATACTTGATCCAAGAGCAAACACATAGAGATAAGTTGCTTCTAAAGTACATGCTTTTAAATGAAGAAACCTATAAAGCACAGCAGGGCAACTTTCTAAAAGCTACAAGCAAAATCTATTGATAGTAAGTATTTAGATATCTCACTCAGATGACCTTAGTTTACTTCCGATTGCAGTCTTTGCACTGTAATAAAAAAAACACTTGCTTAGAAGGTTGGTATGCTCTTATCCTAAAATTTGTCCCACTCAAACAAATGGAGAAAAACCTTTAGAAGATTATTGTGTTCTTAAACAGAGTAGCAAGTATTTCTATACTGGAATGCAGAATGCACTATCCACTAAAAATATTCATTATTTCTGTGTGTTGCTCAGTGTGTCCGGACCTAGTTGTGTCTAGTTGCTCAGTGTATGCTGTCTAATTGCGTTGTTCCCTGGAAGAGTCTCTATATTTTATCATGGGATCAGAAGATTTGTGTATCAGCCTGATCTGTGTATTTATTGATTTTTGCTCATATACTATAACAAGAATATATTTTCTTGTGGTAAATGAAACAATGGTGCACAATAAATGTTTATGTTAAAAGCACTTACTTAATGTAGTAGGGCACTTTGTTAGGCGATATTGCTCGCTCCCAAGCACCTTGGACAGAAGCTGGAAACAAGAAGCCACAGAAAAACAGGTCAATTTCGGAACAAAATAGAAAGAAAACATTAATCATTAAATTACTATTTTTACACTCAACTTATCAGTTCTCCCTCTGTTTGCTCAGCTGCCTGTGAGGAGAGGAAGGATTAACCTACTGGTCTGAAAATTTTTCTATAATCTTTTTGAAATTGAACTCCTTCAACCACAAAAACTGAAACACTTGGGTCAAGAAGCTGACGGAAGAGGCAGAACTGGCAAAGCTGATAATTATAATGTGTATTGCTCTTAATGTCACCATCAAATTCACATTGAAAAACAGAGGAAAGAGGTATAAGAAGAAAGTGCTGTAACCTAATTCTGCTTCCATAAAAGTAAGCATGAAAGCTTTAATTAATAACAACTCTAGCACTAAAAACATTAATAAATGTAAGCTAAACAAAATCTCCTATCGCTTGATAATTCATGACTGTGGGACATTGCTTTAAGTAAATTGGCAGCTGTGTTTGCCTACAAAATACAGTCACTAGACTTTGTGGAGTTCTGTAGCTCAGTGGTTAGAACACTCAACAACAACAAGATTGCATGTATAGAGCACCTTTCACGTCGAGAGGACGTCCCAAGGCGCTGTACAGTTGGGTCGGGACCCGAGCAGTGGGGAAATGGTCAGGGGGAGGGAAGGGAGGGAGCGAGGAGGGGGGAAATGGTCAGGGTGAGGGGAGGGAAGGGAGGAGCGAGGAGGGGTAGAGAGTCAAGAGGGGAGCTGAAGGCACGGTCAAAGAGAAAGGTCTTGAGACCGGCCTTGAAGGAGGAAAGGGAGGAGGCGGCGAAGGCACTGGGGGATAGAGTTCCAGAGCCTCGGGGCTGAGAGGCTGAAGGCTCGGCCACCGATGGTAGGGCGGTTGGAGCGGGGGATGTGGAGCAGACCGGAGCCAGAGGAACGGAGGGTACGGGCAGGTAGATAGGGGGATAGTAGGTCAGAGAGGTAGGAGGGAGCAAGGCCGTGAATGGCCTTGTAGGTGAGGATGAGGATCTTGAATTCGATCCTCTGGGGGATGGGGAGCCAGTGGAGGCGAGCGAGGGTGGGAGTGATGTGGCTCCGAAGCCTGGTGCGGGACAGTACATGAGCTGCAGAGTTCTGAATGACCTGCAGCTTGTGGAGGGAGGTGCCGGGAAGGCCGGCGAGGAGAGAGTTCCCATAGTCCAGCCTTGAGGTGATAAAGGCGTGGACCAGTGTTTCAGCCACGTGAGGGGTGAGGTAATGCCGTAGTCTGGCGATGTTCCGGAGGTGATGGAAGGCGGTGCCAGTTGTGATGCGGATATGAGGGAGAAAGGACAGCTCAGGGTCGAACAGAACCCGAGGTTCCTGACTGGCTTTGAGAGGTGGAGAGTGCAGCCTTGGATGCTGATGGTGTCAGCGCCTGAGGTGCGGAGGCGCTGACACGAGCCAATCAGGAGGGCCTCAGTTTTGCGCACGTTGAGCTGAAGAAAGTTGTCTCTCGTCCAGGACTCGATGTCGGACAGGCAGGCTGTCAGGACATCGGTGGTCGTGGAGTTGAGGGTAGAGGAGGAAAGGTAGAGTTGGGTGTCATCCGCACACATGTGGAAGTTAACCCCATGTCTGCGGATGATGTCACCAAGGGGGAGCATATAGAGTGTGAAAAGGAGGGGACCGAGGACAGAGCCCTGAGGGACACCACACGAGACAGTGCGGGGGCTGGAGGAAAAGCCGTTTGTGGGAACATAGTGAAGACGGTGGGAGAGGTACGACCTAAACCACTCAAGGACAGTGCCTTGAAGGTTTAGGTGGGAGGACAAGCGGTGGAGGAGGATAGCGTGGTCGACCGTATCGAATGCTGCCGAGACAAGCGAGACACCTGGGTTCGATTCCCGGTAGAGTGAAATTTTGGGCAAGTTTCCTTACTCCACATGCCTCTGTTTATCTAACAGTAAGTAGGAAACCAGTTGTTAGTTGATTGGAGGATCAATTTTCTGGGAGAAATAATTTCCTCGAAATAAATAAAAATAATTTGGTCACTCAATCCACAACTGTTTGAGGGACACTGCTGTGTGCAATTGGCTGCCGGAGTTCTCCCACAAAATATACAGTCAATTCACTTTAAAGTATAGTTTGTGAAGTGCTTTGAGACTTTCGAAGACGTGATAAGGCGTTATATATATATATATATCCTATGAAGTACTTTTGATCATCTTAGTGCTGTGTAACATTCAGGACCTGAATAATAATAATAATAATAATAATGGTATATACCTAGACAGGGGAAAATAATAAAATGTATTCCAGAATGGAGCAACAGGAAAATGTAAAAGGTGATTGAGCAAAACAGGGAGATTTCCAAAGGACCAGGTACAAGATAATACAGGTGCATGTTAAAAGGAAGACATTAGGAGAATCAAAAGAGAACTGAATACGAGTAGATGCAAAATAATTCTTTCAATATTATAAACGGATAATCACTAGATGAAAAAACAAATTGGTACAGAAAAAAATAGGATGAATAGGAGACAGTAAATATATTACAGGACTTTTTCATGGACTTTTTCTTTAATAGGCAAGACACCGATAACATGTCATCCAACATCCAAATCAGATCAAGTGACCTCCAGGACTTTGATATCAACAAGGCAAAGATTCTGGGCAGGCTCAATGACTCAAAGCTTTAGAGAGACAAGCCAGGAGACTTGTGAAGCACTTTGAGGGAGTCAATGAATACAGTAGAGGCTCTCAACAAGTAAGTGTTCCATATTTGAGAAAAGAGATGAAGTCCATACTTGCCAATTACAGATCTAATGGTCTGGTCAGACTGAATTTCTCCAACAAAAGAACAACAGAAACAACAAATTGCATTTATATTGCGCCTTTCACGTGAAGAGGACTTGAAGTCAAGATGCTGGACATGACGGGTTTGCACACAAGCTGGGGGTTGGAATCAAGAGGGGTGAAGGGCAAGTAGGGTGGAGGAGGGAAGATGACTGAAGGCATGGTCAATGAGGAAGGTCTTGAGACAGGCCTTAGAGGAGTCAAAGGAGAGGGTGAGTTAGAGGGGCTCCAGGATGGAGTTCCAAAGAGTGGGGGCGGAAAGGCTGAAGGCACGACAAGCAATACTGGTGCAGGCAAGGCGGCGGATGTGAATCAGGCCAGGGCCCGCTGAGCAGAAAGAGCGGACAGGTTGGTAAAGTTTTAATAGGTTGCAGAGGTAGGGAGGAGCAAGACCGTGGAGGGCTTTAAAGGAAGGGTGAGGATCTTGAACTCGGTCCACTGGGGAATGGAAACCTTCACGAACATTTAACTATTGTAGAATAACGACAGGAGATCTTTCCTAATCCCTTAACAATGTTCATAAGGTCAACCAAACAATCAGTTTAGGAAGTAAATTCATGACCATTGGAGAGAAGGGGGATAATACATGGTGTTTTTATAAAACAAAATCATGGATATTCATGAGGCTTTCACTTGCAACTTCCTGAGCCTAAAAAATAAAAGCTTTCTTTGTCCCAGGTTGCGATCCATCATTGACCCCCTGAACAGTCATTGGTTGTCCAGTCAATGTGATAGAAGGTGACTGCAATCTCTGTTATACTCTCTGAGCCCATATAAAAAAGGAGCATGTGATACACAATAACTTGCATTTATATAGCGTCCCTCACACAGGGTAGTGTCCCAGAGCCATTACACAGCTCCTGGAGTTAATAGGGGTTGACAAGCAAGTAAAATTGGGGATTTCTACAAGGGCTTCTGAAACTTACTTAAGAGTCAAAAGGCACACAATGATTGCCATCAATTCCAGGCTGATGGAAATCTCCAGGCTTCCTCACCACTCAGTGTAAATACCAAGGAAAGACTAGAAAATGTAACCTCTATTTATTCAAACCACTCTTCAAACTTTGAAGAATGGAAAGGAACAAATTTCCGAAAAGACTAGAAAGAGAACTGTATAAGGTAACTGTAAATGACCCCTTACGAGAAGATGCAGGGCATTTCGGTTATTACTACGCAGCTAGATTTCAGCAGCTACTTGCCCATTTGAGAAGAGTCTCTCAGAAAATCTCTTCAAATGTAGAATGTAAAATACATTTCCCCTTCTACACCGAGCAAGGTATCTGTGTGTGAAGGAATCAATTGGGCTCTAATTTGCGATGTTCAGAAAAGGAATGGAAAGCCAACCCCCAAAAATCCATCTGCCCACAGACATGTGTTTCCTTCTCTCGTCTTTAATCAACTACTGATAGCTTTCAGAGACATTGACAGCCTACAATCTGACTGCTCAGGTCCAGATTCACACTTCTCCATTACACCAGTAATCTGTTTTTTAAAAAAAATAATCAATTGCTTTGTGTAAATGTATAAACTTTGACCCCTGCATGATAGAGTTGAAGTAAAACTAGTATCAAATCATTTAGAAAAGAAACAAGTTTTCCTTAAAAAATAGCAATGTTCAATAGAATATAGCTGAAGTCATCATGAACAATGATTTTGTTTCTTTGCACACTAATCATATCAATCCACTATAAAGCATCTTCCCATTTCTTCACAATTTACACTCTCTCAACACCAGTAGCACTGAAGTTAATAAAAGCATCCCCAGCTTATATCAGCTAACTCATCACAGGCCAGAGAGTGAAGCTTAAAGACAGGTGAATAAACCCAACAAATTAATAAATCAACAACAACAACAACAAGATTCCATTTATAGAGCGCCTTTCACGTCAGGAGGACGTCCCAATTCAATTCAAACAGAGGAGCTGGATGGACTTTCAGAACATAACATAAGGTGATCAATTTGGACGAGCCTTCACTTACTGGACAAGAAATGCTGAGATGTGGGGCCAAAGTCCCTATGGGCCTCGTGCAGCTGCTTCAGATGCTCCTCAATAGCCACCTGGACAGAAGGAAGAGGAATTATTAGCACAGCTCACAGGATGCAATCAGCCATTGTCTTGTGAATTACAAGGCAGCATTCCCGCATTAACTATACAGGAATTACAATGTCCCTGTCCCCTAATCTTCAAACCCATTAAAAAAAATGGAGTTTAATTTTTCACACAGAAAACTGTGAATATTGTACATCTTGAACATGGGGAGGTTTTACACTGTTTTTTTACAGTGTAAACTGTGAATATTGTCTCCTTTAACATGCGGTGGTTTTTACACTGGGTTACAGGATAGAGCAGGGTTTGTGGAAAATTGCAACACTGGATTTCATTGAAAAGATATAAAGACAAACATTTTCCATCGACAATATTGGGGTAAAAGTACAATATGTGGGGATTAAAAATGTGGCATGTACTAATTATCACATTGTGAGAGATGGCCCAGGTAGTTAATGCTTGAACAATGCTCCCCTTTAGCATAATATACATTTTGAACAGTGCAAAAATATCTAGTACTTGTTCACAGGCAGCATTGAGCACAATCAGTCCGCAGCATGGACCAACTTTGCATTTATGTGACAAACACTTACTTTGAAGCAGGACCGTTTTTGATGCATTACATGACTACTTCAGTCATTTGAAAAGACTTTTCTTTTCTATTGACTTATAGTTACCAAAGCAGCACAAAGCTTTTTTTGTACTGATCAATACGGAGCTTGATTTGATCTGCTTTTCTTTCTTTTTTTAACAAAATGGCTTTAAGTGGACTCTGGTCTCCTATCGGAAGATAATTGCTGAATTAAATTACATACAGATTACTATTGACAGGGTTCATGAAAGGCACAGGCAAAGGCTTTTTCAACCATCTGAAAAAATCATCTATTGGATTTGTGCTGTTATCTTTGATGTGTTGGGAGTACAAAGCTGAACTTTAAACAAATTATCTGCACAACTACGGTGGGGATTTGCCATAGCAGGCTTTGAACAGCAGATAATCTACTTTTTGTTTTAATTTTGTTGAAGCATATCTGAACGTGATGACATTATTAACTAGTTTGTTTTATGGAATGGTCATAGTGGGGATGTACATTAATCTCGCATTTTCTTCCTCCTTTATGAATGGTATTGTCCAAGGATCCTCAGTGAGAATACTGGTGTTTGTAGTAAACTGGCATATTTACCTTGTGCCTCCAGAGGCAACAACAACAACAACAGATTACATTTGTATAGCACCTTTCACGTCAGGAAGACATCCCAAGGTGCTGGACAGTCAGGGATCCGCTCCTGCGTAGTGAGGTAATTGGCATCTACCAACACCCTCATGTATCACTGGGTAAAGGGATAATTCAGTGCAGCACTAAGCCACGCAGACCAGAATCTTAGAATTTAAGGGCATTAGAATTGGACTCAGCATTCACTGTATTAATGAAAGGTGCACACTCCACCTCACTAAGCCAGTCTGGAACCTTGCCATCTTGTTTTACCCTCAAGCGTACTTTCTATCCCACATCTGGGCCATGACCCACTCTGTCTTCCCTCACCTCCGCAACATTGCTCGGCTTCGCCACTGCCTCTCCCCTCAGGTCACCAAAACCCTCATCCACGCATTTATTACATCTAGGCTCGACTACACCAACTCCGTGCTCGTTGGCCTTCCCAACTCTTTCCTCCACAAGCTGCAGATCATCCAGAACTCTACAGCTTGTGTCTCTCCCGTACCAGGCTCCGCGACACTATCACCCAATTCTTGGCCGGCTCCACTCGTTCCCCTCCCCCAGAGGATAGGGTTCAAAATCCTTGTCCTCGCCTTCAAGTCCCTCCACGGTCTTGCTCTTTCCTACCTCTGTGATCTGCTAACCCTACATCAACCTGCCCGCTCCCTGTGCTCAGCATACTCCAGTCTGCTCCATGTCTCCTACCCAGCCCGCCGCACCATCGGCGGTTAGACCTTCAGCCTCTCTGCCCCCACCCTTTGGAACGCCATCCAACAGTCCCTTTGTCTTGCTCCTTCCCTTGCCTGCTTCAAAGCACTTCTCAGTACGCTCCTCTTCGACTGCGCATTTGGCCACCCCCCCATGACCCCAAAACCCTGCTCGGGTCCAAATCACTGACGCTTGGGATGTCCTACCGATGTGAAAGGTGCTTTACAAATAAAATTTGTTGTCGGTGTTAAGAAGGGTCATATAAGGTTTCTGATCAATATTCGTTAATAATAATCAATAATATTTGCCAGGACAGGTGGTTGAGGCTAGAATGCTGGACTCATTTAATAAACATCTTGATGCTGTGATGGGATGGTTGGGTGGGTATTCTGGAAAGATGAGATCAACTGGGCCAAAAGGCCTTCTTCATTCAAACTTATTTTTGATCTTATTAATTCTGGTGGAGGTGAGTGAGTGTGTGAACAAGATCTGGCTTAGCTTTCATTCTCCCTGCAACCTCTTTTGACGGCTGGCACTCACTGAAAATCTAATATCTAATGGGTAAAATTTCAGCTAGCCTGTAAACCATTTTGTTTCTTAAAATTTAAGATTGTGGAAAATTCATTAACTTAGTCTTCATTTTAAAGCCTGTTTCCTGTAGTTCTAACCAGCTTTCAAATTAAGACAAAATGTAAGAATTCAAGCTAAGGAAAACATCTAAATCTACACTTAGGTGGAATTTCTCCCCCAGGATTGTTCCATTGGTGAGTCTCGGAGGAGCAAGACAGTCTGAGCAACTCTGGATTCTGCAACTGTGTAGCAGGATTTTTGTATTACATTTATGCAAACATAGCAGACACATTCTGAATGTTTTTTTTTGTTACTCTGCTCACAGATTTTATTCTCTTAAGTAACTTCTCTTTTAGCTCACAAAGCAATAGAAAGCACTACAGTGCTGACCTTGAACAACACTGAAAGATAAGCACATTGTTTCATTCAACAAACACAGAACTTCTGTTACCTCAGAACAGGTCAGAAACCAAGCTCCAAAACAATGCCTTCCAGTACTGTTCTGACAAACCATTCTAACTTCAACTTTAATCCACCTTTTTTGGAACATCCTCTGCAATCTGATGATGTGGTTGGTAGAAATACTGATATTATGTGAGGCCAAAGAAAGTGTTCGAATGGGATCAAAAGCTATTTAATTTTATGCCAAATACTTTTTGGTATAAAATTAACATGTTTTATCTGCTGTTGATAGGTTTCCACAGAACATGAGACGAACAACAAACTGCAGCTGTTTAAAAGTCACATTGTCGCTACAGGGCAGATTCTGTGTGTGCATAAAAATACAGGGAAGTCTCCTACTAATTATAAATCACTGCATCAGATTTGAACGGTGCATTGGGGACCCCAGACTAGATTTTCAAATCAGGAAAACTACACTAATCTTTGTTCCCTACTATATCTGGAAAAAGGAAATTATTCATGTGTATCTGCAGATAGAAGATGCATTTACCATACAAAGTGATGGGCTAAATGTGACAGAGGTGGGCTAGGTCTGTGAGCTGATGTGATGGAGGATGGGTTAGTGTGACACAGAGGTGGGCTGTATGAGTGAAGCCTTGGAGGAGCTTTCACTTGACTGACCTATCACTTAAATAATTTCAGAAGAAGATAGTTAAATGGGGCACTGCTGATGGCAGCATAGCCTGGCTGACTCATCGTCAGGACTTGGAAGGGCAGACCAATCACTGGAGGCAGGGAATTATCCCACTCAGCTCCTGTTAAGCCTGCAAGCCGAAGCCCTAACAGGAAGAATGGTCCAATGCAAAGAAGGAGAGGGAAAACTTGCCCGGTATCTCTGGAATTTCCATGTATAGGTGGAATGCATGGAACTCTCACTTTGATTTGGATACTCTTAAGCATGATGATAGGTTTCCACATATCAGATACCCACAAAATATACAGTCAACTTACTTTACAGTATATTCTGTGAAGCGCTTTGAGACGTCTCGAAGACATGATAAGGCACTATATCAAATGCAAGGATGATTATTATTATTATACCCAGCTGGCAAAACAAAACTTTAGAATTTGCAAATCAGGATGTGTCCATCCAAGGAGTGAGATGCACATTCCATCCCTGTTGGAAACATTTCCAATCATAAGTGGCACACATGTATGAAACTCTCAACTTGTTTTAAATACTCTTATGCATTATGATAGGTTTCCTGACATGTCAGACCACCAAGCTAACCAAAACCAAAGATTGGCTTTTTCCATCTGCAGAAACAAACAGACATTTCCAAAAAATAAAAGTGAAGTCTGCACAAAGAGAGAGAGATCCCCAGGGTCACAGCCTCCACTTAAGCATTGATCTAAGCAAGAAAAAGCATAGCTTGGCCTGGACTCAGTACCAGGTGCCAGTTTTATGTCCTTCTTCAGAACTCTTTCCTTTCCTGTACTTGCTACTTCTAAATATAGTGTAACGGACAATTTTAGAAACTATAGCATTTGTGAGATATTCTATACAGCCACATCCTAATAAATTATTTCTGCAATAGATTCAAAGACATAAAATAACTCTTGTGGAACCCCCAAGTGCCAATTCTCCACTAATATCTGACACCTGGTCTTTGTGCTTTTTTTTCAAACTGGGGAAAGAATCAATGAACCATTGATCTAGTAGTCATTCACAAAAATGAAAATAAGTTTAAGTGGCTACTAAACAAAGATGATAAAGCTGAACCAAAATCTTGGGAATACAAAAAGGATGATTACCTTCTTTAGTCTCTCAAAGCTGCAAAATGTGAGTGTTATCAGGGGAAGCAAAGAGAACATGAAGGTGGAATATAAAGAGAGTTGCAAGCAATAATGTACATGTTTGTACCTGTATGTTTGAGAAATAAGAAAATAGAAGCAGCAATAGTTATTTAGGAAGCTGTATATATTAAAAAAAACTGAAATGGGAAGAATGTGGTCTGAAGTCAATGAGTTCCAGCTTTGTTCCCTCTGCTGGCAAGAAGGCAAATTAGCAGTTCAAAGGAATAAATGCATAATGATATTTATGTGGCTTGAACACCATTTCTAAAATGTTAAATACTTCTTGCTTTTGAATGGTCCATGCTCTTGATAAACATTCCCACTGTATTGACCTACCTTGCAACATTCTTTAACACTATCAGGCATTCAGAACATGATAGGGCATGCTCTTGGATGTGCCCCAAAGACCAGATTAATTCTACAACCGAAAGTCCTAAAGAGCCAATGTCCATTTAGGGACTACATTTTTGCATTTCCTGCCTTCGTAGCTACTTTTAAGAGCTAAGTTAGTGTTTGGGCTGCAAAAGCTTCATGATGTTCTAACAATAGACTTCCAATTACCAAAATCACGGGGCAATGCTATGTTTATTTGAATAATCAAGTAGATGCTTCCCATTTATCACACTGCCTGCATACAGTACAACTCCCACCCCCCCACAAACTGCAAACTAAAGAAGTTCAAGTAATGGATTCTTAGCTCAGTGGAAGTTTACTGCATCCCAAGTTTAACCCTCTCAACACTGCAAATGCTGCAATCATTTCCAGCAAGTTCAAAAATAATACAGAATGACTCTTTTCCATGCGCTCTTTCATGTTCAAACACTGTTCTCTATTATAAGATAGTTTTACAACATTCTGTATCCCGAGTTGCAGGCTTGTACAACTAAATACATTAAGTTTTTACTTTTAACATGGTGGAACCTGCCAGGGGAGAATGACTTAACAAACATGCGCATGACTTCACTTAAACACAGTGTGCTGTTTTTGAGGGTCAGGGGAACCAGGAAAGGGGGAGGTGGGGGAGAGAGAAAGAGTATAGATGGTACGTGCTAGCTCATTGAAAAATGAGCCTCAGTCACTGACTGAAACAAGACACTTTTTAAGACTCAATAACTGCACCGTGTTGAAACAGTACAAGCACTGATGTAGTTGATCTTGGGATACAAGAAGCTGCAACCAGGTTTCTTTTCATCCATACTGATACAATTCGTGGTCAACTTGCAAAAAACATGTTGCGAATATTTGCCCTGGTAACTGCTACAGTGGAACTGTTATTACACCAAGCAGAGACCCGCAGGCAGAATAAAACCCTAGACGGTTCCTTTCATAATAAATAAAAACCCTAGACGGTTCCTTTCATAATAAATAATCCTTGCATTTGATATGGCGCCTCATCACGTCTTCGAGACGTCTGAAAGCACTTCACAGAATATACTGCAAAGTGAATTGACTGTATATTTTGTGGGTGAAATCCGGCAGCCGATTGCACATAGCAGTGTCCCACAACAGTCATGGATTGAGTGACCAATTTATTATTACTATAATAGCAATAATTTCTTTGGTGCTTTTGATATGAAATAATTTCACATTTCTTTGGTGCCTATGCCTGTACGCTGCCTAGTCTGCAAACGCAACCAGGTTCATTGCTGAAAGGTTTGAAAACAAATTTGTGTTAAGAAGGTGGTCATTTAGTTTGGTCCTTTAACTTTTGGCATCCTACCGCCTTCTTTGTGGAGAAAGGTGATCAAAGTGAATATAAACACAGTGGTGTCAACAGAATATAACAAATGGGCTCAAAGTCCTCAAACGGCTATTGCTATTTATATTAGTATTTTGTTCAAACAAGCCCAGCCCCTCCAGGCTTTAACCTCACAATTGCTACATTCCTCCTTTATACCTTACTCCAATTTTCTCCTCTCCTGAGGACTTATCTGGCAATTCAATAGCTACTGGCCATTCTCTAAATCTTCTTTCAAGTGGCTATTCTTCATGCATGAGCCCAGACAGTGTGGTCAGAAGACTTATTAGGGCATTGTGACCAAGCTTAAAATTTAGAGAATCTGCATTCACAGGGCTAAATGTTACCTGTGGTGTGTAAAGTTGCTCTTACCATCCTTGCCAATTACTAGTGACGATCTACATACTGTAAACCCTCAGCTGTCCAGATGCCACAAAATTTTGAATGAACTGGACTGGGGACAAAAAGAATTCTGTGATTCTGCGCGCTAAAAATCTATTCTGAACACATTATTTCCTAAAAGAAAACTATCTAATCTGTTTTTTAAAGAATCAACACTTCCTGCTTCAACCGTCTCCCGAGGGAGCCTGTTCCATAGGTTCACTATTCGCTCACTAAAATAGTGTTTGCGTAGATTTGTTTTAAAATGATTTAAAATTTATTTTCACTCATTTTAAATATTAGGTAGTATTTATTTATATTTTAAATGTTAAATGTAAGGATTATCGGGTAGCTGGAAGATCTGGCTTGCCCCTTCATTAGCCGGGGGTTTAGAGTATTTCAACCGACTTAAACTCAGTAGGAGTTCATATGTGTGTAACAGAACAAAAGTGTAATTCAGTATATGCTTATGAATATATTCATGTATATTTAGACGGTAAGTATAAACCTCATATATGTATGAATAGGATGTACATACATTTATAATAGTCTACAAACATACCGTCTGCCCACACGTATAAACAAGAATTACACCCCATATTTACATACTGTGGTGTTGTGCTACCTTCACAACTTTCACATTAGTACTCAAGGTGGGAGGGAAACTCTGTGTCGCCAATCACATCAATATTCACAGGCCAGCCCAATTATTAAGCATCTCACTGGAGTAAGGATTCGCTTTTAATGCAGATGCCCTGTGGACCAGAATATAGTTGAAGTTCTGTATACTGCTGGTTTCCATAATGGACCAGCTGGCTTCTGGTGCTTCAAAAACGTGTGACTTCCAAGTCATCGAGTCATTATTGACATCCCTTCCTGCGTGCTGCACTTATGCGAGAAGTACTGTTGTCATCACTCTATGGAGGAAGTAATGTTGTGACATTTCATATCGTACGCAACATGCATGCATGAAGCGAGGTTGATTGCAACCCGATCACTTGAAGTTGGTCATTTCTCACACTTCATTTTAACGTGCCCTTACTTTCAGAGTCTGAGGTAAGAGTGCTACCAACTGAGCCAGCCTGAGAATTCTCTATCTTTGCTGGAAGGAAAGAAAAAGGAACTGAAAAGGAAGTAGGGTAATTTGAGCACTCACAGTGCAAGTGCAATCCCTCTATCAAGGCTATGGGGTTGTAGGAGAAAGAAACAGAAACTGTGACTCTCCATCCATGCAAGATCTTAATTACCACAATATTGTGATTCGGAGAGCAAGTCACTGTTTGATGCCAGTGTTGGTAGTGCTGTTTTCAGCAGACTTGATGGGCCAGATGCCTTTTCTCATTCAATGCTGTTACGTTCCTCAGTACTAAATCTGTCCTTTAAATCTCCTTAAGGTTCATATCCCTCATCTTTATGGCTCGTATTTCCCATTATTACAAAGGTCCACATTGTAACCACATCCTGGCACCTCAGGATTTGTCGCCATTGTCCCATTGGACTGTTAACCCAGGAAATTTTAAGAAAAACTGAGATGATAATCATCACATAATTTTAAATTATAATGTTACTCAATCCCTTTTGTGTCTTTTTTTGTGCAAAGTCAGCACAAATCTGCTCTTACCAAGAGAAACATAGCAGTCAGCAACAGCCGAAGCAGCAGCCACTGGAGACCCTGAGGACAGACCCACCTGTAATTGTTTCCACCTCGTATTCAGGTCGTCCAACCGGTTCAAGTTATATGGAGACAGTTGGATTTGCGTCGGTGTGAATTGGCAGGCGAGATCATTCATGTGCGTCACATTCTCTTTCAAAGGAGCAATTTCTGCTCTGAAGGCCTGGTTACAAAAAAAATAAGTTTTCTTTTAAAACAGTGATACAAACGACATCACCAATTATAGCTTTCAAACACATCTTAAAGTTGTTTTCTGCTCAAACTCAGGACTTGCTTTATTTTTGTAACAAAGAAGATGGTCACTGAGTCACCATTTTTCCCCTAACAGTGTATAGATGTACGAGTACAACAATTAGCACAAAAGGGGAGAAACAGACATGTTACCAGCGGAAGAATACAAACTGGAGGAAGAAATTCAATATGTATTGCAACCCCTATCCTGAGCCCTCACTGCAGCCGGCTAAGTGACATGAGTCATGTTGTGAGGGCACCTTGATGTCAGGCAAACTCTTTCTTGACCTCCACTCATTTTGTTTTGTTAGGTGCCCGTTGTATTAAGGGTTGCAGCAGCACACAAAATGCACAACTGCTGTGTCAGGATTAAAGTTGTTTATTAGCTGGGAGAGTTGACGATTGATGGCAAAGGCAGAGGAGGCAGTCGAAAAAAGGAAGCCTGGGAAATCTCATTTTAAACCACCTTCATTTTAGTCTGCAGCCTAAACCCAGCATTGGATGTAGTCTATATTGGGTGCATTACAAATCACATTGCGTACGATTAAAACACAATAGCATTAGCAAATGTTTTGCTTAACAAATGCAGTTCAGTTAATCCCATTGAGGTGCCAAGACAATAGTGAAATCCAGAAATTATCCACGCATCATCAATGCAATAATCTTCTGTGAGGGACATGTTGATAGTATCCAACCCAATACATGATTTACCCTGACGGATTGCTAAATTGTCACAACTAATTGATATGATCACACAAGCATTGTCGATAGCTCTAGGCTGTCATGAGATTCTCCTCATAAGTAAAAGAGACTTTCTGAAACCACAGTTCTGTGCTTTGGTGCATCAAGAATATGTCAGTGGATTCTCTTAGTGGAGTCTTTGTATGAAAGGTTTGTTTTGAAACAGGAAAAGTCAACGGGAATTCATTACCTTTGTGAACAAAGGCAGCTTCAAAGTGGATGCTGAGGCCAAGTGATTGAACCTGGCAATCACCCAGAAATCTGCCACCTCAGCAGACAAGCCAATTACTTTCTCAGTGTGGAAGGGGGAGATGGGGCAGAGTTAAAGTTGAAGACAAAATCTCCAATTTGACTGTCTATAATTTTGTGAGATATCAGTGTTGTGAAGAATTAAACCACCTGACTCTACCAAACATTAACTGGTCCACTTCTGCAGAGCTGACAGATCAGGCATTCTTGCCAGACGGTGATATCAATGGCAAGCTATGCGGTGTTAGCTGGTTAGGCTCCAGCAGTACCCCAACACATACTCTGGCACACCCCAAACCTTGGTTCTTGCCAACCTGTACCTGCTCCACGTCCCCCAACTCACCCACCCCACCATTGGCGGGAGAGCCTTCAGCCACTCTGCCCCCAACCTCTGGAATTCCATCACCCAATCACTCCGCCTCACCCTCTCCTTAGTCTCCTTCAAGTCCCGCCTCAACACCCTCCTCTTCGACCATGCCATCGGCAACCTCCCTTCCCCTCCCCTTCCTTCTCCTCCCCCGACCCCAGCTCGGGTCTGAAATGCTATACACTGTTCAGTGCCTTGGGACGTCCTCCCGAAGTGAAAGGCGCTATACAAATGTAATCTTGTTGTTATTATTTTCCGGAATTAGATAAGCAGGATGAGTCTTTTCAGGGAGAGAGTGCACATTACACTCCAACAATCTATCTCTGGAATTTCCATGTGTAGGTGGGATGCATGGAATTCTCAGTTTAGTTTGGATACTCCTAAGCATGGTGATGGGTTTCCACATGTGTCAGACACCAGGCTGACCGAAAAAATATTAACATGAGTCTGTTCAGTCGGATACAAAACAATAAAAAATTATATTTAAATAGCGCCTTTCATGTCAAGAGAATTCAACAGTACTGGCTGAGCACCTGAGCTGGGGGTGGGAGCTGAAGGGGCTGAGGGGGTGAAAGATGACCAAAAGCGTGGACAGAAGATCCAGCGCTGCATTCTCACTGACCTGCAGTTTGTGCCCATTTCAGAACTACCTGGGTTCAATTCCCGACAGGACAAAACCTTGGGCAAGTTTCCTCACTCCACACGCCTAATAATAATCCCTCAAAAAAAAAAAAAATTGGTCACTTCAATCCACGATTGTTTGTGGGACACCGCTGTGCGCAATTGACTGCCGCGTTTGAGACGTCTAGAAGAAGTGAAAAGCCCTATATCAAATGCAAGGATTATTATTATTATTGTCATAACTACAGTAGTTCAATGTGCTGTGGGCAGGCCTGACTATACGCCTGGGGCACCCACACTTCAACTCATCCAGAAAGATAGGAATAAGGCTACAGAAACAATAAATAATAAAAAATATCCTTGGCGAGCATTATAAGAGTGAAAATGTCAACCCGCGATGTGTTTGATATCCTCAATGATAAAGTGATAATTGTCATACGATGGAACATTCCAACCTGTTAATGTCTTGCTTCAGTTGTGAACCCGGAACCGTGCCCCACCCACCGCAAATTTCTCACAATGGTTCAGCCCATAGACCCTGCGAGTGCTATAATGGAAACCAGCACTCAAGTGACCATGTACTTGAGCGAACAAGTCAAATGGCAGCTGAGGGCAGTTACCACACCACATGCCACAATTTCACCCCATTAGATGCTAAATTGGATGGAAATAAAACAGTGCAATACTTTCAGGCACAGCAAGGCAGAAGGACAATTACATCATTAAACAGTATTATCAACTGTGCCTACACTTTACAAAGACAATTATAAGCTTTGAAACTCCCACTCCCCCCTTCCTAACTATGTTGACAATGCTGAAACTGAGAATCCAGTGGATACAGTGTGAACTCTCCTGGCTGCCTAACCTGCAGCTGTGAAACAGTTTGGAAGCAGACCGCTTCTGGAACTGTCTACCTGAAAACTGTCTCCCTCGTGCCCTCTGTTCCACCATTGGTGGCCGTGCTTTTAGCCGCTATTCCTTGAAACTCTGGAATACTCCTCCTCTATCCTTCTGTCTTGCCCATTCCTTCCCCATTTCCAGGTCGCGCCTGAAGACCTTCCTCTTTGACTGTGCCTACGGTCACCTCTCCCCGTTTCGGTGTCGTGCTCCACCACTGTCAAGTGCTCTGGGACACTACCCTGCGTAAGGGATGCTATATAAATGCAAGTTGTTGTTGAAAAAACTTACCAAAAGGGCAAGGATGCCATGTAATGGTTATTGCTTTCCACTTTCCTCACTTCTATCTCTCCTAAGGCACTGAGTGACTTCAACACCTCACCCAACTGACCATCCTTCATGTGTGAACCTGGACAGTGAATACAGTGCCCCAACTATTGCTCCATCTGAGATCAGCTTACTCAGTAGAAACTTGTGTTGGAATTGTATCTGCAAATTTTTTTCAGTCTGTATCCCTATTGGTTGCAGTGCCTTTACCTATTCTATAATCCTTACATTTGATTATAGCTCCATTTGACAGTTAGGTTGTCAAAACGTCTCAAAGTACTTCACAAGGTGTATTGCAATACATTTTATAGGCTGCCACATTTTCCTACAAAATACACTAAATATTTAGAGTGCACTCTAAATAAAGTGTATCTTGTGGGCACACATGGCAGCCAACTTGCACACAGCAATGGGCCACAAACAGCCATGGAGTGAGTGACTTATTTTATTTGGAGGATTGCTAGCCAGGATACCAGGAGAAACTCCTATTTCTTTTCGTTTGTTGCCATGGGATCTTTAATGTCTACCTGGATAGGCAGCAGGACCTTGGTTTGATGTCTCCTCTGAAGGACAGAACCTCCACCATTTGGGGGAGTATATCAGTAATTCTACTGAACCCCTACTCTATTTTCATATATTTTTCTCTTTCTCTGGAAGCAGTGCAGTGGAACGAGAAACTGCTTTTGCTGACATTGGTATTTGTATGAAGCTGGAAGCTTTTAGAACCTATTTGCATTCGAAGCATGTATTGACTCGCACAGGTAAGCATCTGAAATTGTGCTGTGGCTCACTAGCCCAGTTTGATGTTTTAGCCTTCTTATATGTACGTGAGTTACATTTAAATAATGTCAACCTTATTACAGCACTAAGGATTCACTCCATGTAAATGTGATAAATGAATGTAGGAATGAAAGAGGCGTTGTAGATTACCTCTACAATATATGTTAATCTAGCTGTGTGAAATTTTCTGTTCATTACCTGTATTGTTAGATTGCTTTAATAATCTACTATCTTTTCATTTAAGAAGATGGGTCAGAGGCTTCTTAAACATTGTTTGGCATACTCTTTGTGTAAGCAAGGAGAAACGTCAAAGGAGCTGTGTACAATTTATGTCATATTGATACAAAAAGCAGATACAAATGATGAATTGTCTCATGGAATCTAAGTTGACATGTCATATTTGGAAACCGACATTTGGCAAACACTTTTTCATGATTACAATGCCTCTTAAAAAAAGGAAGGGTAATAATATCCCTCTTTACAATCTGTTAGCAGTAATAATCATCAAATCTCATACTGTTTAATTATTAGCAGTGCTTTACAAATTTTCTAATAATATGCCAGATATGAATAATTCTTGCATTTGATATAGTGCCTTATCACGTCTTCAAGACGTCTCAAAGCGCTTCACAGAACATACTGTAAAGTGAAATAACTGTATATTTTGTGGGCGAAACGTGGCAGCCAATTGCACACAGTTGTTTCCCACAAAGAGTCGTGGTGCACCACATACTGTAGCAACAAGCCATACAGACTGAACATTTGCTGGTTCAAATCCTGATCCTGATAACTAATCGCAGGAGTGTAGCAGTGGGGTTGCTATGACTGACCTGAGCGTCCCTGATCTAGAGAAGGGGAAATCCATTAAGGTTCCCACTTCCAATCATTACTCAGAGACCCCTGCTGGAATCTGTGTGCATTTGTGAGTGTCAACTGAGAATATTATCAAA